TGTACCGGCAGCTTTATTTTAGAGATCGTGCCCATTCAACAGTTAGAACCAATCGAAGTACACTAGAGCACAACCAGAGAATAGACTTTATGAAATGCTCACTGAAAAGTTCCGCTAATTTTTATTTCAAATAGTGTGCAAATAATGTGCTCCTATTAACCTCTTTGGTGGTAATTTACACCACTGAGGTAAGAATCTAGAGTTGTCTTTTTAATTGGATAAGATGGGGCACAACACAACAACATAACAGGAAATGTTGATCATATGCCGAGCCGCGTTCCATTCGCCGACTATTCACGTATCACACTGGTTTTCATCGAACCACAAACATTTAGAGGCATAATTTTACGCAATTGACGCCGAATGGTCTTCTTCAATTACTGCGACTACAAACGTATTTAGCTGCATATTTAGGTGCAAACGTATTTAGGTGCGTATTTAGGTGCAAATTTAGGAGCATATGTTAATGAACCCCACGTGCTTGAAATTTTTGGAACCTTTTGGTACGGTGTCTCCCATAATAGTATGGTGGCTGCGGGGTGTGTACCACGAACAATATTTAATAAATGCTGAACAAAACGACTATTTTGCATCTTATAAAATAACGTTAGGTGATTACTGAAGAAAAACGATTAACTGTGAATTTCAAATTTCATGAAGTCTAGGGAGTCATTTTGCCAAACATAGCAGAGTCTGACTCTATATAGATGAAGAAATTTCGGTAGGGTCACGCGAACCTACCAACTTCTTTCAAATGCTCGAAGTTCAGTGGTAAAGCGATGCTTTGAGCCTTTAGTTGTCTCTTCCAGCAAGGTGACCATTTCCCGCGGAGGGATGTTACAGGACTGTTGTGAAGTGGTGGCAATACTTGTCTGAAGATAGATCAACAAGCCATGACTGCTTTTTTATGTTCAATGAAAATTAAAATGGTTATGGCCACAATCTTTTTTGTGTGAGTGCAAGAATACACTTAAACACGCCAGCAAGGAACTGGCAGTATTTCCTATTAGTTGGGAGCATGTATAGAAATTTTTCTATGCAACTTTTCATCTTTTGTTATGACGCGCACCTTCATATATTCACCTAATAAACGAGGTTCGTTCACTGAATAGAATAAGCAACTCAGAATTTCCCCAAAAGTTATATAGTATTGAACTAATATTGTAATTATTCTCTTTGCTACCGGCATGTTGAAATTATAACATTGCAGAACGCAGACAATTTGCTTAGGGTGAGATGCATGCATGTTTGGTGGATCTAAAATTTTTGATAGACAAGTAGTATAAAAAACCACAGCTATGTCATCGCTGGCAGTACGAGAGCCATCACGCACCATGATAAAACAATCGATCGCGCGGATAAAGTAAAGTTTAACGCTCACCAGTCTGATCACGAAGAAATGATACTACCAATACACATGCGAGATTGTGTTACACAGTCCGCTGCCAAAGTAGCACCCCAAGTAAATCTGTTAGGTCCCAGAACATGTGACCTGAATTGAAGTCTCCTGTGAGCAGAATTCACCTTCTAGAGGCACTGAAGGCACTACAAATATGGTGCCTACTTACGCATGAGTAGGGAAATAACAATAAATATGATTTAAACAGGGCTTCAACATTGCTGCCACAATCTCACTTTGTAACTCTACATTCTGTATCCTACAATCTGAAAGCAAAATTCAATGAATATCGTAATTTCCATTTCATAGATATATAATTAAAATACAACCACGCATTTGGCTACTCAGATAAACTAGTGAAAAAAGGTAAAAGTTTTCATCTGGCGTTAGCAACGTGTTTAGGTGCATCGTGTACATGAAAGTTAGGCTGTCTACAAAGGCAACATATTTCAGTTGAGGCTGAGTACATTGATTGGCAGTTACACTGATATACCCTCTGGTGTTCAGTGGTGTTCGGCGCACCGGAGAGGGCTCCGCTGTTTCTACCTTCGTGACTTTGAGCGACAATTCAGTTCTTGACTTGATACCGACAGAGCTAGAGAGAAAGATATCCTAGGTGAAAGGCAGGCAGGTCAACAGAACTAAAGGATCTTTACGCTAAAGAGCTAGAACATGTATTTCCATATCTGTAGACTCGTTCACGCTTCAATGAGATGATTCATGGTGCAGTTTCAGTACTGATACAGAACGCTAAGCCTTCTTCACAGATACCGAAAGTGTACGCAACAATATGCGATCTTGGAATTGTTACTGGTACTGGACTTGTGTCAGCTGATTTGGGGTTATTCAAGTAAAAATTGCTCAAGCTTTGGTAATAGTCTATCACAAGACTTTCACATTGTTTTTCCAAGCAGATTTAATTTGTTGTGATTAATTTTATTCTCTAACAGAGATGTGGCAAATGTGGCCATGCCAGTATATCCGGAATCCGAGCTTTAAATGCTGTCACGTTCTCGTGACAATTTACCCCTGTGAAAATAAACCTATTGCTTTACTTCGCGAATAGCTGTGGCGGTCAAGAGTTAAATAGCACTTGTATTTCTGTATTTTTTAAGCAGATCAATGCCACCAGAGTAGTGTGTCGAGTCATTTTGTGTACTGAGATAACACTGTTTTAAGGTTGCCGACCACTCCTTTAAAGCCTCTCTCTCCCCACCGCTGAATCAATACACGTTTAATCTGCTTTGTCGAACACACTGGCAGAATATCCAGTCGCTCTTATATTCGATTGCACAAGAAGCGAGGGGCTCTGCATGAAAGATCAGGGGATAGAACGTTCTTTCTGAGATACACGTGCTCACAAATTTCACAATTAAAGACTGCATTGGATCCTCTCATAGTTGTCAAGGTGATTACTCAAATGGAAATTAGGTCCTCTGCAGAAAAGTTGTTATTCTTGTCTTTAGTTCGAGTTGGCACCATGTAAGAGGTGATTAGCGCATGCTTGGTAATTTGAGTGAAAGCAGCGATGGAGTCCGAAGCAAATTAGGTGCACTTAGGCACGTCTCATATGTTCGTTGTCCTAGTTGACCTACATGGATGGATGGATGCTATGAGCGTCCCCTTTATAACGGGGTGGTGACAAGTATGCCACCAGGCTCGACAAAAAAAAAACCCTTTTTTCTTTTTTTATGTTGGCCTAATGCCTCTACTTCGATAAATTCTATCTTAATGGAAAAAAAGGTAAATTTTCAGCTTAAGTTCTCTGCCATTTACGGCACACTGTCCATATTTTATTTTTCCAATATTTATTTTTGTCCTTTCTCTCTAATTTTCTGCCACCAATACTCTAACCGTCTCTTACTTATTTCCATCGCGGGTGTGTTCAGCTTTCCATTGTTGTCCCTAAAACCCAAGGCTTCCTGTAGGCTCGTGCCCAAACGTACACCTGGGTGGATATCTCCACATTCAATCAGAACATGCTCCGCCGTTTCCTTATCTTTCCCGCAGCATGTGCATTGTTCTTCTTCTTTACTGAATCTTGCTTTATAACTACGCGTTCTAAGGCAACTCGATCTCGCTTCAAACAGTAAAGCGCTTCCCCTTGAATTATCGTAAAATGCCTCCCTCCTTATTTCATTTTTGCCCTTTCGGTAGTTACTCAAAGCCGGTTTTTTCTCCATAGCTGCCATCCAGTAAATCCTCTCCGCCTCCCTGACTTTTCCCTTAACGCTCTTTGTTGACATATGGCTTACAATACCAGCCGTATATTTACTAGTGAGTCTTCTAGTTCTTTTTCTCCACTGTGTGTCCACGCTCTTCCTATACAAATAACGGAACACCTTCTCTGCCCATCTACTCTCCTTCATATTTCTTAGCCTTTCTTCGAACCTTATTTTGCTCTGCGCTTCCCTCGCCTCAAAACCTGCCCACCCCATATCGCCCTTTACAGCCTCGTTTGTCGTCTTCCCGTGAGCACCCAACTTGATGTACACACGTCGTCTCCTAGCTCCTCCTGGTGGTGTACATCAAGTTGTTTGAAAGCAGCACCGTGCGGGGTTAGGTTTCCCTTAGGCCACCTGTGGATTGGGGAGCCTGATGAGACCCTCTTTTACTGACACTTCTAGCACACGAAGATTGTTTCTGACATCGTAGTAAAAAATTGACGCTAATGGCAATTCATTACACAACAGAGAGTTATGATCTTATTCAATATGAATAAATACCTACACCACAATATCCCGTCAACATCAATAGCAAGTGACTTCTCTGATCACTACACTCGCCGGCTATCTTAACGCATGTAGTGAAAATCCTGAACCGGCATTGCGCGTGGCAGACGAATATACTACCAAAGAGCTTCGTCAGTGCTTCGAAAAGCTTTGTAAAGAACCGTTGTACAAGCGTTCAGTCAGGAAATCGCAGTTGCATATTTGGCAATGTTATTCCATATTGTTGTAATAAACAAAACACATGCACACCTATGACTACACAATCTAAGACCAATCGTTACAAATAACTATAAATATGCATATTATTGCGTCGCAGCGTGCACAGCAAGAAGATAAATATTGTGTGTCTGTTCGAACCAGAGGGCCGAAATTGTGTTGGAGCATGAGTTAACTTTTACACGTGAGTGTACTCGGCGTTGCCGGTAATTCCGCGACGTGCACACAATTCAATTAACACAACGTCGTCTCTCCAACTGATATAAATTGCTCAAAGTAAAAATCTGGAATTGACTAATGCGCACGCGCTGCTTCCCATAACATTCGTCTGAATATTTTGTTTGCACACTATAACCAATGCTGCATACTGCGACAGCCTGGGAATTTCAAGATGTGTTTTGCTGATTTTCGAATTTTATTTCGCTCTGTTATTTTTTCAAAAATGTCCTTTTCTAAGGCAGCCATTCTAAGCTGTGCGTATTACAGCCTATATACATAAGCGATGCGCATTCATGACGTTAGCATGGAAATGCAAAGCCATTGTATGCAGTATCTATTCTTATCAATTATATTGTCTGCTTGAAGAACAGCTGGCATGCATACAATCGAACACACTGTTTTCCTTCTCTGTAATAACAAAGGTATCGAGTGTATCCAGAAAATACATTCATTGGAGAATGCTCTTGCCACATATTCCGCAATAGATTTTTAGCCAAATGTGGACATTAGGTATCGTGTGCATGATGACTTTAATTCATGCTACTGACAGCGTTACTCTTCAAGACCTTAAGAACGTAAGCTTTTAAGTTTGTGATAATTTTTACGTAAAAAACCACCAACTTAATGCTTAAATACAGATAATTTGTAGGAATATCACATGGAACTTTTGAGACGTATAATTATTAGGATAGCTTCTTACTGTTGACACAATTTAACACGTACGTAATTTAAAACACGTTTTTATTCCTGTTGAACAGTGGTTCATCTGAGATGGCTGACGTGATGACCTTTTTCGCTACAAAGAGTCACTAATTCCAATATGATACGCACATACCGGTTCACATTTTAGCGCACTATCGCACACTTCTAAGCACATTTCAAAGTATAGATTCTTTAAATACATCATATAACAAATTATTTGATTGAAGTCAATTTAACGTTATTGTGGAAAAGAAATAGAATAGTTACTTTTATGAAGAACAGAAATTATGTCGAATTTGACACAAGACCTAAACTAGAGAAATAGTTACATCGAAATATGCCGTATAATTTTCGCCGAATGCTAAATTAGTGGTAATAGTGAAGCATTGTTCACTGTCTCACCACCACGTTTTTTAACGTATACATTCTGCTTTATACACAAACTAACGTATACACAAACTAACAGACTAAAATTTGTTGAACTCAAAGTGTAATTTTTATAGCACTTGTAGTCATCCTGAGATTTTTTCCCTACAAGAAATTTTCCAAACAATTTTTTGAATAATGTGGCACTGCAAAAATTATTTTGAATGAAATTAAACTTTTTTTGTCCTGGCGTTCGGCGACAGCTACTTAATGCTGTGTCATTGCAACCGTTTTCACAACACCCAAATAGCATGCCTGAACCCGAAAAAATGAAAGCAAACGTAGTGTGAGAGTGTAAGCTAAGAAAATATTTTGAGCCAGTTATGCCACTGCCACTCGTCATGATAGCCTAGTATGCTTTGTGGAGCAGCGCGAGCAGTGCTGTCGACTATACTACTTGCTTCCTACTCGCTTCGTCAACCACGTCATATTCAATGTTGCCGCACGACAAAAGACGAATATAATTGCAGTGTAAAACTGCACGTATTAGCAAAACAGATTGACTGTACTACTTTCTTTGTAACGGGGAAGATAGTTTTTCTTGGTTTTTCGATATCTGGCCAGCATATGGCCACAGACTGCTCCAAGATGTGGCACGGCCTCATGAGTTCGGTCGCCATTAGGCACTGGCTCAACAGCATTCTTTTAAGCCCGCTTTGTAACGACGATTGTACAATATGCGCCGCTTTATCTGCGGAGCTGATTAAGCCGGCCATAATCTGCCCAGTTCAACAACAACAAAAAAAGAAAACGCTCTATGACGACGTCATGCATGATACCAATTACGACGATACAAACTCGATACCCTCATGCGAAAGATCTACAAGCAAGAACTTGGCTTCCCACACTACATCAGCATTGAACTTTTCAATGAACTGGGAGTTCACAACACCCTCACCGAGCTCAACAAATTACAACAACGCAGTCAGTTTGCACTCACTGAAACTGTACGTTCTATTATCTGTGCGCTTCACTTCACGTACCATTAGCAACAGGACCCCAGACAAGCAATTCCGAATAACATCCGCAGCTGGATCCACGCGGATCCCATTCCTAGAAACATGCACCCTTAGTACAACAGAGCCCGGCGACAAGCTCGCGCTGGAGCCATCACAAAGGCCTTTGCCCACGCATCTGGCACCACATTTGTTGCGCAGCTCAGTATCCTCAATGAACGCGTTCCGTACCTGTCACCACACGCAATAGAGTCCTACGCCATGCAACCAGCGTCACTACTACCTCTCCCGAGACGGCCGAAAAGGTGGCCATCGGCCTGGCTACACTTGATTCCACCTGTGACAACATCGTATGCGACTCTCACTCAGCCGTCACTAACTACAGCAAAGGGCACATTTCTTCCCAAGTGCTTCTCATCCTCTGCCAGGCACCACACTCCAAGAAAACATGATCACCCTGACATGAATCCATGCCCACGGGGGCCCAGTTCACCCACGCCACCCCAACCTCAACGAGGTCACTCACTTCCTTGCACGAGGCCTTGTCAACCGCGCTAGAGCTACTGGAGACGAGATGGACACCAGGGACAACCTGACTACCTACAATGATCTGGTCAAAAGTTTTACCTCAACGCCGAGCCTTTCCCCCACTTCACTCCAAGCTCAACCGGGCACAGGCCACCCCTTTGCGTCTCCTTCAAACAAACACGTATCCCTCACCTTCCCGCCTTCACCTCATATTCCCGGACGTGTACACAACCTCCCACTGCCGGTGCTGCGACACTGACCCGGCTACGCTTCCGCATATGCTGTGGGAGAGCCCGGCACAGTAAAGACACACTAACCCTTTCGTTGAAGATCTATGAGACTCTGCGGAGCCCCGCTCTTGACAACCAAACCTTGGTGACCTAGCACGCCCGTGAGGCGGCGTCGAGGCAACCCCTTGACTTCCCCTCGTGGGAGGCCTAGGCCCGGCCACCTAAACCTGCTGGTTTCTTACAATAAAGTTTATTCCTCCTCCTCCTATGACGGCGTCCTCAAACATAGGCAAGCAGCCACGTGCACAGCCCTTTGCCGGCATCGTTAGCCAACTTCATCCGCCATCAGCCCACATGCGACGACACTGCGCGTAACCACTTGGTCCTGCTATAGAGATGACGTCACGGCTAACTACGCAAGTGTCCCGTTCTGAAAACTGCGGGCACATGACAGCAGATAAGGGTGCAAGAAGCAGACATTGTGGGGCTGAAAACAGTATGAATTGCCGATGAAGAAGCCCCTGAGCGAGAATCGCGGCTGGCTATCAAGTGACACTGCTTACTCTTGTAAAGTAGCCCACGACATAGTGGCGCCGAAACGGAGAGGGATGACTGCGCTGTCCTCCACGGAAACTCAGCATAGTTGGGCATCAGTTCGCATAACTTGGCAGCATTTGGCATCATTTTGTATGAGAAGGGCGAGGGCCGACAAGGTGTCGATTAGCTCCGCTTCGCTTTTACGCATCACTGCTGCGAAACAGCAGTACGCACGTCGCATTATCCGCAGTCACTGAACGTTCATTCGAGGTTCCTCTAAATATTACTGTGCTTAAAGATCAGCCACTTTCGTAATGGTGCTCACTGACAGTTCAATACTCCGTTGTTTTCGGACTTACTTAATGTGTCTCTCGTGCGATGCATGTGACCTCATCCGAAGTGATTGTGTTCGACTGTTTAATCCATGAAAACTAGAACGCCACAATTGTTTACGACAGTTGAATGCTTCTATAAACAAGTGCTGCTCTTTTTTAACTAGTTTCTGAATACAGATGAGAAAGTATGGACTCGCTACAGAAGCTTTGACTTGGGCCCGAAGGAACACAAGCTTAAGTGCATATACGCAGATATCAGACGAAAAGATCATCGCTGCTACGTGTACGCACAGCACTACGAAGTTCAAGGTCAGTGGTGAGTATATTTGAATTTTTCAGTTTACATACCTCTTTAAATAATTTTCCACTTCATTTGCTTGTTCTGGTACAAGTGCTTATAGGTTGGCTTGGATAGGTATGTCAACAGAAAGAACGAAGACCACATTTTTATATTCCCCCTACTGTCAAAAGTGGGCACTTTTCGGTTTCTGCTAATTGAGCGTATTCGGATAGAGAGTTACATGTAGGCAGAGGTATACATTCACCTTCAAGCTCTTTATGCAATGCAGACGCGGAAATCCAATGGGTGACGAGAAGTTTGTAGTGAATGAAGCACAATAATACTGATTCGTGGAGGTGAAACTATTAGATGTCTAATCGAAACAGAAGCTTAGGGGGCGTCTGGTGGTGTGAAAAGGAGCGATGCAAAAACAAATTATCATGCATCACGTCACCACATGAACTCGTGATGACGCGACAGAAAGAACGTCACTGTGATGTCTTATCACGTGGCCTCACATGCTGACGGCGTCATCTCATGACAAAGTCGCTTGGCAAACGGCGAGCAGGTCACGGAAGCAGTGCGAGAGCGAGCTGACGAGCAATGCCTCAAATCCTAATTCAAATGCGAAACTATGCTACGCTCAGAAATACCTCGGATCTGGGCTGCTAGGATCAGTATGTCGGCAGAAAATAAAGATGAATTTCTCCTACGACTTATCTTGGGCCACTTGGTGCGGGAGTCCATCAGTTGTTTTACTACATAATTTTTATTACGCATAGTTTTACTACATAGTTTTACTACGCAATAATAGCTGTCATGCACGTTTCTTCACATATACCTTTAACGTATATAGCTAGACAAGATTAGGTGATCTGAAGGCTCTTGCTAAGCTCTAGAAGATTGCCCAAAGCTGACACCGTTGGCGTAGTTGCTCGCTGTTATCACAGCATTGTTGGCTCGCCTGTGCAGTCGCTATGAGTTCTTCCTATGGACGTCTCAGCTTTTCATATTCTGCTGCTTCTGAAAAAAAAAATTGAGGATCTGCGGTTGAGAGATGCAACCAAGAAGACGTTAAGTAGAGAAAAAGATAACTTGCTTCTGGCAGGAATACAGCCAGCAATATTCGTATCCGAAGGTCGCAGGTTAGGTGCCTGCCAGCAGCAAATTGGCATTTAGTCTACTATAATTTCTTGACATCTAGATCGCAATTAAAATGTTCTCAACCTTTATAATAAATGTCCCACGTCTAATAAAATTTTTTCAACATAGAAAAGGTAGATTCGAACATTCCTGAGGTGGAATGGTGATTATGGTGCTGTAATATTGGTGGCACATGGTGCGTGTTGGCGTACGGTGGATGCAGGAGGTGATAGAATGCAACGGCGCTGTAGCAGCAGAAGCACGGGGACGAGCAGCCACAAAAATTAATTGTATAGATTACCATGCAAAAAGCAGACGATAAAAAAAGCCCCTCGCATCTTCCCATGGCGGAAATCGAGTTACTGCGTCGCAGATACGGGGGGTGGGGTATCGCGTGAGTGTTCCGTAATTGGGTATGGTTTGGGAATGCCTTAATGTTCTTTCGTGCTTATTATTCATATTCATTGAATAAAATAGCTGCGTCTCCTCAAACGAGTGGTGGGTCGCTGATGTTGTGCCCCACTACTGGTAGAAGGTACTGTTGTATCCGTTGTATCTACTCGAGTTAAGCAAAGCGTCACGTCAAGTGAAACCGACCTAAAGAGTTCAATAAAGCGGAATGCTGGGCCAGTTAGTACAACATATGTGTGGAAAAGCACTTGACAGAAAAGATGCTCAACTTACAACTGAAATTTTATTAGAAGACATTCATTGCACGAGAAAACAAACGCGCAAGCGATGAGGTTGCCGCACATTGCGATCCTCTCTTGCAGAGGTAGGTTGAACAGGAAATATTTCAGTTGTAAGCTGAGTGTCTTTCCTGTCAAGTGCTTTTTCTTCTACCATGTGCGCTCATATATTTCCACATCGACCTAGAGAGGTCCTTGACTGAATTCTGAACGCGCAATCCAGTGCCCAGGGAGTGGCCACGAAACGGTTGTGCAGCGCGATACCGGCTCATTGCGGTATACTGGCCAATGAAAAAGCAGATGAGGCGGCCTGCAAAGTACTGCGAAAAAAAATTACAGGCAAACCTATTTTACTAAATCAGATGCTTCCCAGCTGGCTAAAAGGCTTGCTTCTGAAAAAAAGAAGATGCTATGGAACCTGCCGACAAATCATTATGCTTTCCTCCACTCTATTGACCCATATCTAAGGACCAGACTCCCATCCCGAATCCTTCGACATCTGGAAACTCTCTACCATCGTCTCCGGCTGAACAGTGCTTATGGAAACAATTTACGGTATCGCTTCGGTCAAGTAGACAGTCCACACTGCAATAACTGTGGCTCTATAGAAACTGTAAAACATAACTTGTTTGAGGGACGAGCGTATGCCGATGAGCGTACGCTCTATGAACACTGCATGCATCTGTTAACCCAAAAGCCTTTATTCAGTTGATTGAGTCCTGGGTCTTTTCGTCAGCTTCACGCAACAGGGGCAAGCGATGAAACTTTTATTCGCGTATTTAGACAATATCGGTCAGCTAGACAAGCTGCAGGGGTGCCTTGAAAACTGAAGTCATGCTGTGAGCACACGTCCCCGCCCAAGAGACAGAATGTCTGTATATTTACATTTTTTCTTTCCATTTTATTTCTTAATATTTTTTCTCTTCTCTTCTTGCCTCTCAGTCCCTAATCCCCTTCCGTACGCAGAGTAGCAAGTCAGCGACACACAAACACCGGCTAAATTCTCTGCGTTTCAGTAAAGAGCTCTCTTTCTCTCTCGAGCTGTCGGTTCCTACTATCAGAGACTGCCTGCATCGACCTTGCGCGGCGAGGGATGTAAGGCGAATGCCAGTTATCACGAGGTGTAAACATGCGCAGTCAGGGATTTGAACGGTGCCGCCCGCGCCGCATTTGTGACTAGGTGTAACTATAAACTGGTCTGCATATGAACAAAAAAGAAAAACAAGCGACAATCAGGATTCGAGCGAGCATCCTTCAGATCTATAATCAAACACTCTTGCTACCGCACCATGTTGACGTGTGTAGTGTAGTCCTGTAGAATGACTAGTCAACTTACTAATTGACCATTCATCTCGAGTCTTGTATGTCTTGTATTATGTCACATACTACTCAGACAGACTGTAAGTTGCGTACCAACTCTTTTGCGAGTGTTACACACACACACACACACAGACAATATATATATATATATATATATATATATATATATATATATATTGTAAGGACGAGAAATAAGACACAACGCCTTTGCTGCAGGCCGGCTGTTCTTATTCTGCTTCGTCTTCCTCCTCTTCCTTCCTAGCATGCGAGTCTGTGCCAGAGAGAGTTCCAGTTTCGGTTTTCGTCATTACACTCGGCCATGACTGCTAGCATTGTCGTTGGGCCAAACGACAATGTTCTGGTAGGTAAGGCTAGCTGCAGCAGTTGACAGTGCTTCAGGTGGGCGAGGTTGGCTACATCGTCGTGGTCGGTCTCGACCACGCTGGAAGTTTGTCGAAATTGGCTCCGGCGGCCGACACTGGCTATGTCGTCTGGGTCGTTCACCGTGTCGTGATGGAGACTGGGTCCTGTGCGCGCGCGGAGCTGGCGGTAAAGTTTTTGGTGGGTGGGCTTGACTTTGTCGCCGTGGTCGAACTCGTCCATGATGCAACGTTTCCTGACAACTCGTAGAATGCAGTTCAGGTGGACGGCCCTGACTGTTCCGGCAAGGTCGCAGAGTAACCTGGAAACGCTGGTGTTTGTCCCACCGTCGCTGGTGGACTGAACTGCAGCGGGATGCCCTGCGAGGCAGCCATGATGACGTTTGGGCCATTTCTTGAAATGAGATGGGACGCAGCTCATGGTTGGGCATAAATACCACAGCAGAACTCCCAGACGTAGTCGAGCCGGTGGCTTCTGGCGAACTGTCATGTGCAAACATCGTATGCTGGGAGGAAACAGCAGGAGGGCTGGTCCTCGGCAAGTTCTCGATGGCAGTGGCCTCAGCGTAGCTAGGTATCTGGGCTTTCTCGAAGGAAACGTTCCTTGGTAGCCGAGTGTCTGCGTGGCTGAGCATGATCGTGGTCTGGTAGGGTTCAGTTGTGTCTAGTACAATAGGATTGAGTGCCTCGATGTCCTCAGACGACGAGCGCGAGGGCCGTATCTCCGGACGAAGGTCTGGTGGGGGTATTTTCAGGTCGAATACCGATGCAGAGTCCGGGACCTGTAGTGTAGGATTCCAGCCACTTCGGTCAGGGTCAGCAGCAGGGAACTCCTGGCAGCATTCCGTTGACGAGCTGCAACGAACGATTGCAGCCTCGAGGCGGGGCGCTGCCTGGGCTCCATCCTCGGCCTCGGGGAAGATCGAGCTGGACTTGCTGGAGTCACAGGAAATCCGTCCGAAAGCGGCAATCAGGGCTGCACTCCATTCTGCCCAGGACTGCTGCCTGACGCCTTCGTACCTGTGCCATGCTGCGGCAGCATCCCGCAGGCGATCTATGGCCATGTCCCACTTCTGCTCTTCAGTCGTTCCGAGAGCGTTGACGGTTGCCACCCATTCCTCGGCGTCGTCCTGGAAGCCGCGAAATTCCGGTAGCGCGAAGGAAATCGGCGATGGCGGGACGGCGGGCAGAACTCCGAAATGTGCCCCCGCCAAGCAGTTCACTTGCTCCGATACCTCCGCGAGAGAACGCCGGAGATTGCGACGGTTCTCGGGCGAGCTTACCTCGAAGTTTTGTGCGGCGGCCGCAGCCAACATGGCATTGAGTGCGCACAATGTTGGCAAGATGGCAGGACATAGCTTGGAACTCGACGCTATGAGGGCGTTGGTCGTGACACGGAGTTGCGCGATGGTATGCTGCAGCTCCGCTGCGCTGTCGTGTGATCCGCACGAAGAGCCAAGGCCCGCCTCTGCGGAGGATACAGTGACTGCGGTATTCGAGGTGG